ATATTATATTAATGTCATAATGTTATGAAAAGATTATTACACCTGGAGAATACTTCCCTGTTAATTCAGGTCATTGTGTAAAAGTTTTAAGCCTCTAACATGTAAAGTGTATATGCGTATGGCCTTTCTTTTCCTTTTCTATATATTTTTAATATGTGCTTCACCAAACCAAAATTTCATGGTATTCAGGCACACTAACAGGTGGTAATTACACATTTAAAATAGTATTAACATGTTTGTATAGCAATTTCTTTCTACCATGCACCATTGTGGGCATTAGCCTACTAGGTTGTCATAAGGCTGTGAGGGAGGCAAGGCAAGATCAATTTTCAGTTCTTTATAATCATTTTAAAGGTAAATAAACAGTCTTATTGGATCACTTGTCCAAAGTCAATATTTGTGTGTTAACTCTAAGTACAGTTGCTTTTGCCTGTACCACACAGTATCCCTAACAATGACGCTATCGAGGAATGGGATATGTGTTTACCTGAACAATGGGAATGGTGGATGTGAGGTGGCACTGTTCTTGCTTTTTCTAGATCGTACATAAGACACAGCTTGAAGGGCCCCTCTTCTGTCTAGTTAACTCTCTTTATTTCATCTAATCTTTCCTCAAACTAAGCAGGTACAACATTGAGGCAATAGAAAAGAACAATTAAAATGTTTATCACATACTTATTGCCAGTTTATCTTCTCCACTGTATGATTTTTTAAAGATGCTATTACTGTATAAAATCCTAAAATAAAATAGTAAATGTATATTTTTAATGTGACAAAATTACAATTTTTAAAAACTAAATTATACCTTTCTTGGTATGTGATTTTTTTGTGTGTTTGTATACATCATTAAGCGATTTTTTTCCCTACTCTGAAAAGCTGTTTTGCTACAAGTCCAGTTCATTCTTACTTCTATCCACGGGGAAGTCATAATCCCCTACTTAAATAGAAGCCCGTTACCATGGAAATCATTGTAATGCCACTGAATCAATATTTTGATTTTGCTGACATTTAATGTAAAAAGAAAAGACAGACTAAGGTTTATAAAAGTCACTTTTCATTTTTGTTATCGTTTTGATAGCTAGAAAAATTGTAAAGAAAACATATGCTCTGTAATCAGTTAACTCACAACTATAACGAACTGAGAATTCATAAAAGAACAATCTACATATTTATACAATTTTGGCTTTGAGTACACACATATGCATGCAGGCATTTGGATTCAAGATTTTTTTCCCCATCTCTGAACTAAGCCCTGATTCTCTCTTATTGTTATTGAAGTCATAAGTTGGCAGAAGAAATTTGAATGTTTCCAGTTTTTTAATTGCCTTTTTATTAAGTGTTCTGAAGAGAAGGTGAAATTTGCATTGAGAATCATTCTTCTGTAGAAGTCGACCATTTCTGCACCACATCCTAAGAGTCCATCTGGTCCACTGACCATCCTCAAAGATGCACTACAGCTGAAAGCTCCTCAATCCACCGTTAGAGCTCCTTTTGAGGAGAGATGTTGAACTTGGACCTAGCGTTTAATAAGGCTCAATGCCCATCAAGTAGTTTTCCAAATCTAACTTAAGTCATTGCTGCTACTATAATTTAGTCACTGTCTCCTCTTCCGTCCTCAGAACAAAGATAATAGAGCTGCTGTCTTCTGTTTGATAACTAGCTATTTGGAACCCTAAATCCTTAGATGTGAAGGGATCTGAAAGAGAATTATGAGCTTCTCTACCTCAGGAACTAGCGACCTAAAGCATCCCAAATGAATGGTAATTATTTCCTTGTTTTTTTTTTTTTTTTTTTGGTGAGGAAGACTGGCCCTGAACTAATATCTTTTGCCAATCTTCCTCTTTTTTCTTGAGGAGATTGTCGCTGAGCTCACATCTGTGGCAGTCTTCCTCTATATTTTGTATGTGGGATGCTGCCACAGCATGGCTTGATGAGCAGGGTGTAGGTCCATGCCGGGGATCTGAACCCATGAACCCTGGGCCGCCAAAGTGGAGTGCACAAACTTAACCACTATGCCACCAGCCAGCCCCTAGTTCCTTTTTTTTTTTTTTTCTGCTGAGGAAGACTGGCCCTGGGCCAACATCCATGCCCATCTTCCTCCACTTTATATGGGATGCCGTCACAGCATGGCTTGCCAAGTGGTGCGTCGGTGCATGCCCAGGATCCGAACCGGCGAACCCCGGGCCGCCGCAGTGGAGTGCGCACACTTAACCGCTTGCGCCACTGGGCCGGCCCCCCCAGTTCCATTTTTAAGACGACTGAATTGCCACTCAAATGTTTCTGCTATGGGACAATCATCATGATTTTCCCCATGGGTTTACTATGGATACCCCAGGTCCTCCTCCCCTGAAGGGGGCTATTCTGAGGTGTGTATTTTACACTGCTTCCAGGAATATCTCCAGCAGCGTTACACTACTTGCTATCACACCTCTTACTGGCTGCTTTCCTTTTCTGTTGCACCTTTTCCCTCCCCTTCAGAGGGTTCTGTTATTCCCCTTTATTCTTGACTCATTCTAGATTACATTCAGACCCTCATCATTCAGAGACCGCAGTTCTAAAACAGTAATCTTCTTTGGCAAACAATCTAATGTAATTGATTATGTAGTTTTCTGGCAGTAAAAGCAGGAGAGAGGTGACTTCTGGAAAAAAGATCATGGAAAATAAACAGAAGTGAAAGGCACCATGTATCAATATCAGAGGAAACCTAAGAACAATATTTAAAATTTACAAAGGCAGATATCTAGGGCCCTTTAGTGTATTAACAAGTAAATGAAACACCTAAATTGTTTCTAAAAGCATCTCTGTGTTACAGGTTGAAGGACATACTGATGACCTTGAATCATGAGAAAAAAGGATCACATTTCTAATCTACTCTAAGGCAGCAGAGGAACAATCCAGTTACACAAATAACAGACAGACATACATCTTCATTGCAGTGCTATTCATCACAGCAGGACAAACTGGAACCAACCTAAGTATTCATCAAGAAGATAATGATTAAAGTATTGTGAATACACTTCTCTCCTTAAAAATGGTGTTTCTTAACAAATTGGAAAATAGTCATAAGAAAATAAGTGAAAACACAAAACTCTACGTACTATGATTTCAATTTTGTAAATATGCACACACAAACGTTATACATATATGCATTCTCACACACATGCACATACTCGGGACATATTTTTGCATATATACGTAGTAGAAAAACTGAACCTAAGTGCAGATTTTCTTTGTAGAAAGGATGGACTAGCTCCATCTCCAGGCATTCATTTGTATTCTTCAGTATGCACTGAATCTTTTTGTTCTTTGCCTAACGGTGCTTGGGCAGCAATATGGGAGAAAGGAGAGAAGAGGGTAATGGAAGAGATGGAAGATGCCTCATGGGCACACCTCATGGATTAGGTCTGAGCTGCTGTGGGAAGATTAGAGCAAAAGATGAGGGAGCTTTCGTTAGGGACTGGGGAGCCCAGGTGACAAAGAACTCTGCCCAGTTGAGGAAAGGATCGCCTGGCTTCCACTCTCTGCTGCACACCGCTGTGAAACTGGGTATACTGGGGGCTCAGGGAAGCCTGCTGTGGAGAATGTCAGGGACAGACAGGCTGGAAGAAAGACTATGGGAGCTGGCAGAGCCTTGCTCTCAAGCTGGCCACTGGCAGCACTGGGAACCTTGAAGTGTTTTCCACAACTGACAAACAAAAATCTGAATGGGCTCTTATCAAAGCATGCTTGAAACTACTCTCCCACCAAGGGACTGGCAGGGAAGACTCAGGAAACCTGAAACTTACTTATTCAAGTAAGGGCTAAAGAGCTGGTGAGATCTGGGGTTAACCTGACCTAATTTATTCATACACCAGCAAGGAGACTGAGACATACTTGAGTTGTTTATTTCATAGCTGAGGAAAAATACATGTATAGGTAGAAATTAGAGATAAAGATTGGAGACTGAAATATATACACACCCACATATGTGTGTGTATATACTACAAGCGTACACACATACATGCATGAATTCATAAAATAAAGAATGATTATTTCTAAAGATGATCACAATTTTTTCTTCTGTATATTTTCCTGCATTACCAGGTTTCCCTAATACTCACATAGTACTTCTATAATTATAGAATTAATGTGACCAGGGAACCAGGCAAATTTGGGGTTACTGAGGAGCTGATCAACAACTAACATGATTTGTTAAATGTTTTTCAGACAAGAAGAAACTATGTGATCTGTTTCCCAGAAATTGATGTCTCCCTTTCGCAGATGTTGCTATCTTGCAGAGAAATTTACATATTTGCAGCAAGAACCACCCCCAGCCCCCAAGCAGAATGTTCCAGCACCAAGTGTCCTAAAGTTACTTTAAACCCATTAGCATGTTAAATTCTCCTTTCTGGGGGGGTCGAAGCAGCCATTTTCAGATCATGCGATGTATGTAATAGCATATTTACCTGCTAAGCATGTGCCCTAAAGGCACACAGTTGTTACAAATAAAACTGTTATCCTCTGCTCTCTTGTGTATCAAGTCCCTACCATCCGAGAGACACTGCTTTGGGAGCTATCCCTAGTGTTCTCCATTGCTTGCACAAGCAATAAACCTTTTCTTCACCTACTTCTGCCTTGGTGGTGCTTTTCAGCTCCTCACTCATCAAGAGATGAACCCACTGAGTTTCGTTACAGTAATACTAAAAAAGGCAAGAAAACATACATTTTAGATATATTTCTAGGCAAAATTATTTCCTAATGATTCAAAACTTTAAGAGGATAAGAAAACTCAAATATTGCCTTCCCTTTCTGATGATATAAGTTAAATATATTTTTCTGAGCGTCATTTGACAACATCCCAATAAATATACCCCACTCCCCCAGTTCTTCTTTTCTGGGACTTCTGGGAGATGGAAGCAGGATTATGTGACCCAGGGAGGAAGGCAGATGCTCATTAGTAAGCTGACCCGAATGTGAAATCTGAAATCTGTTTCTAGTGATGTAGGCATGGTGTGAGTTACCTTCGGTCCGCTCGGGGGCTTTCCCACTCTTACTGGCGGGTGTGCTGTTGACCGTCTCCGAGGATGTGCTCAGCTTGGTGCTGGGGTCTCGCTTGGGTTTGGGTGGTGGCTGTCTCCTGGAGCCACAGCTGCTGTCATCATCTGTTCCCCCAACCGAGTGCAGGGACTGCGACCTCACGGTAAAGCCACTGGAGCAAGGATGGGGGAGTCTGTCCTGAGGAGCAGGCATGGTCATGAATCCCATGCGGAAGTGTTTGCCCACGTAAGTGCCGTCGTGGCCCCGTCCCACTTCTCCACCTATGCTGTAAGAGAAAGGAGACCGAAATCCGTGAAGAGAAACGGAGCCAGGTGTGCAAGGTCACGGGTACAAGCATATTGATAATAGGCAATAGTTCATATTTTAACTTTAGACGGGTGAAGAAACATTTCCATTAGCATGAAAACATTCTATACTTTTGCATTAAATATGACAATAAAGCAAATATAACTTGATTATAATTAGAAATCCTAACACTTATTTCCAGATATTCTGGTATTCTGGTCTCTAGATACTCTCAAAATAGTATTCTGAAGAAAAAAACACTGCATCACACATTTCATCTTCAATTGATTTTCTTAGTTGGAAGTAAACTTTGTCAGTGGCGTATAAAGTAAACAAGAATTCCGTGACAATGACTCATGGACGGTCTTTCGACACATGACTGATGTCAAGTGGCAGCACCTGAGGCTCTCCTCCACTTTATCAAAATCATCCCTACTTCTACCAGGTTAATAAAGTGGGAAAAACAAAACAAGCAATGACAACAACAAAGGGGGGCTCCGTTACCAGATACAACAGAGAGAGAGAGAGAAAGGGAAGAAGGGAAACGGGAAGAGAGGAGGAGGCAAAGGAAGGGTAGAGGGGAGGAAAGGGAGGGAAGGAGGAAGGCAGGAAGGAAAAATATTTCCTTAAATCAGTGAAGGAATTGTCAACCTCTCTTAGTTCTGCAGAATCCTTCAGTTATGCCAGAAACTTAGTTCTACTAATAAGCTAGCCTCACAGAATAAAATAGCAACGTCTAATAAAGACGTGTAGTTAAAATGTCATCTGAACTATCCTGGGATAGTTCTAAATACCTCATAAATATTCAGAGTATGCAAAGTTTCCAAATGTAAGGTTCTTAAGTTTTACATAGGAAAGTTTGAACGAAAATTTGAACATATAAGAAATCTCAGTTTGGGGCCGGCCCCATGGCTTAGCGGTTAAGCGCACACGCCCCGCTCCTAGCGGCCCAGGTTCGGATCCCGGGCGCGCACCGAGGCACCACTTCTCCGGCCATGCTGAGGTGGTGTCCCACATACAGCAACTAGAAGGACGTGCAACTATGTCATACAACTATCTACTGGGGCTTTGGGGAGAAAAAGGGAAAAAAAGGAGGAGGAATGGCAATAGATGTTAGCTCAGGGCCGGTCTTCCTCAGCAAAAAGAGCAGGATTGGCATGGATGTTAGCTCAGGGCTGATCTTCCTGACCAAAAAAAAAAAAAAGAGAGAAATCTCAGTTTGAAGCTTAACTAATCATATAGTCAATGACTTTTGGGCCTTTCTCTATGTTATTAAATCAGAGTGAGTCCTTTATGGAGAGAAAGGGCATGAATGACAATGTAAAATTTTAAAAGACAGATTTTTCTAGAGTTTTCTCCATTTATGTTCATTCGTCAATAGAGAAAACAAAAAGAAACACTGTTAGAAATATTTGACAGATTTTCTTAGACATGCATGAATGGTAAAATGTAACTTTGAGTATATGAATTTTGGAAGCCTGTTGAGTCTACCTTTCCAGACACAAGTTTACTCAGGCTTTTTTTTAACCTTAATTTTAAGTTTGCTTTGCATTTATAACACCATGGAATTCGAGGGAAGGTTTTGTAATTCTCTTTATTGTATCTTTCACATTGTTATAATGTTTGTCATAAATTTTACCTCCTAGTAGGAACAATAATGGGAAATGAGTTTTTGTTTTTTTTTTTTTTTGGTGAGGAAGATATCCCTGAGCTAACATCTGTTCCCAATCCTCCTCTTTTTGCTGAGGAAGATTGGCTCTGGGCTAACAACTGTGCCCATCTTCCTCTACTTTGTATGTGGGATGCCTGCCACGGCATGGCTTGATAAGAAGTGCATATGTCCACGCCTGGGATCCGAACCTGTGAACCAACAGAGGTGTTAGCTGAGGGTGAGAGTGAGGTGAATTTAGAATAAATGTTGGAGGAGGGAGATAATGAGTATCAGTTGCAGCCCTCATATAAACTCCAGTGATGAGAGCTATAGTTTATTGCACTAATTCCCTCCTTGTAAGGTTCACCTCAGGAAGAGTCCCATGGGAGCTGTGAAAGAGCTGTTTCCCCAAACCTGCAGAAGAGCATCTGCTGAGTGTAAGGGGTGAATTGTGCAGCCATGAAGGTTTGTGGCTCAGATTTCCCTCAAGAGAGAAACTTCTCTAAGGACAGCAGTTGGCTGACAGCCACAAGCTACAGAGTCTTCAAATCTGGTAAAGGATTTTAGTCAAGACCACTCTGTCTCTGGACAGCTCCTATCCAATGATGAGGTATGGGACCTGGCTATTTCTGCCCAGTGAAGTAGTCCTTTATGGGCAGTCTTTGTGTCTGAGTTTCCCTTTTGGGCTGGCCAAGACTTTCCCTAGCTATGCCATGGTCTGAGGCTCTTTCTAGCCAATCATTTTTCCTTCCCCCTCTCCTTTCACAGGTGTCACACTGCATTGTGGCGGGAGGCTTGTCCTGCCTATACCTGTTCCCTCTCCCTCCCAGGCATCCTCCTCAATAAATCTCTCACACTAGCAGGGTGTCTGCTTTCTGAAGGCATGAACTGACATACTTGGGAACAATCATACAACCTATGACATTCAGAAACCAAAGAAGAAGGAAAACAAAGCCTAAAAACAAACATGAGACCCCAGAAATAAGAAATGCCTGTGAAAATAGGTCATTCTCTTGCTTCAGACTGAGCATTTAAAAGGTCGTTGGGGAGGTAGAACCAACTCCACTATAGGAACAACTTGGCTTGAAGTGAAAGTTATGTGGGCTGAAGAAAGAGTCTTTTTGCACTAAGACTCTAACACTCAAGATAGATTAAGCCTGACACATCTCATGTTATAAAAATAAAAATAAGTTTCATAATCCTGAATTTAAACAAGTATGCTTTTTTCTCACAAAATGAAGGCAATGTTGCAAGACCTAGTTGTCTGTTGGTTAATTTTTCTATTATAAAACACAAAAAAATAATGTATTGCTTAAATCTAGGGGAGTTGTTTTCCAACAAATAATTGCTAAAATATTTGTAAACTTCTCCCCCAAACAAGTTATTGGCTAATGGACAGGCCTGGACATTTGTGCCCTAGAATCACCGAGTTGTAGCCTCCATCCCCAGCTCTAACATTTAGCAACTGTACTTTAGCTACCAATTCCTAAGACCATTTCTTTATCTGTTCAATAGTAGTACTGGCCTCATGGAATTGTTATCTAGTTCACATGAAATATTACATATGTAGAACTTAGTGCAGAGTCTGATATACACTATGTAGTCAATGATTTTAGCTTTAAAATTCCTACTTTTTGTCCTGTTTTCTTTTTTTTTTTTTTCCCCTGAGGAAGATTCACCCTAAGCTAACACCTGTTGCCAATCTTCCTCTATTTTGTAGGTGGGTCGCCTCCACAGCATGGCTGCTGCCAAGTAGTGTATGTCTGCGTCCACGAACTAAACCCAGGCCACCGAAGTGGAGCATGCTGAACTTAACCACTAGGCAATGGGGCCAGAACCCAAGTCCTGTCCGCTTGAATTTTGTTTATGGGATCATCTTTTGCATTGGAAGGCCATGTCTTTAAAGGGTGGTATATAGTATCACGTAACCTCAAAAAACTGTGCACAAAGTGAAAACAAAAGCCTACATTTAACTCAAAGTATCAAGATAATCCAGGCAACTATAGTCCTCATGCTCTTCACTTTCTTCAATACTTGCTTCAATTTTTCAGAGCACCTGTTGATCAGGACTCAGAAAGAAAGATGCATGACAAGAACTTCAAAACTGCTTTGACAAGGCTATTCAACAGAGATTGTTATTTGTCTTGCTATCTTCTTGAAAATCCATCAGCATTAATATTGTGTGTCTTCTTCTGAGAACTACTTTCTTTCAGAGATGAAAACACAACCCCTGAGAAGGGTGAACTACCAAGGTGAGATGTCATCTCTAAAAGTGACAGAGTTGTAGCTTCTGTGTTTAATTTTGAAACAAACATGCCAATATGTCACAGTAGAGTCTTCCTTAGGAATCATCGGAAAAAAACAGAATTCCATTCCATATATACCTCCTCTTTCAAGCATATCTAGGAAGTTGAGATACAGACTGCTGGGTTACCTAGGAGTGTGCTTGCTTGGATTTTTTTTTTTTTCTGGAACAATTCTCTGAATCTGAACTCAAAAATCCATCCTTGACACTGATGCGTAATCTGGTGTATTTCTGCCTTTGCAAAGTTTTGAGCAACCTGGATTTTTTCTGTTGATTTTTCAAGAAGATATATCTATCTAGTATTAGGGGAAGGGCACATTCAACCATAAAGTAAATGAGGAAAATCTGAAAGGGACATGGAGGCAACAGCTGGAAAGGAGATAATGAAATGTGCCTGTGAACGAGTTGACTACCGTCAACTACAACTATTCAGACCTCCATGTCAGGCATTTTACAATGAATGACTAAGAGGAAATCAATATTTACACTTTATTCCTTAAAATTATAACTTAAAAAGTTTGTATTTGATGCTGCCTCCGTCTTGTTTTCTCTCCAGATACACAAGGCCAAATGCCAACCCTGTGCTGCCCAGTGAGCCCCTCCACGCCACCCCACCAGAGGGCTCCTGTTCCAGAACTTGCCCCTTTTCTCCTTCAACATTGGCCTCTTCTAGCTGTCGTTTCCATGTAAAGCAATCAATGCCTGTGAAAAATTGGACATAGAAAGAGCCAAGAGATTACTGTGTTACATCTTTTCGCTTTTTGACAGGTATTATGCCTCAACCCAAAGTCAGACTTTTAAGAGAGAGGCATAATTAATTACATCTGCTGCAATTTTTGGCAGATGGAACTCGTCATGCAATTCATAAAGGCCTGTTATCTATTCATGAAGTGGATGTTCCCATCCATTCACCTTGAGCTTCATAAGGACGGGTAGCCTGTCTTCTCGCTCACCATGATAGTCACTAGCACATTGTAAATGCTCCAACATATTTGTTTTATGAAGGAAAAATGAAGAAAGAAAGGAAGTCCACTTTGGAGATAGCCAGATAGAGAGCTTAGTTAGAGAATTTCGTGCACATTTGTCATTTGTGCTTCCCAGGGATTCCTTCTCCCTACTCCTGGCAATGGAAATTCTTGTATGGAGACCAGTCTCCTTCCTCTCAGTCCAGCTCAGACCCAGCCAATCAACCACTAGATCCCTGTGGCCACCACAACTATTGTAGGGACTGGCAAATGCCTCAAGTCAGTCTAATCAGAGTAAATCCTGGGTATTGTGTAGAAACCCAGACTCACCTCATCCTTCCTGCCACCACGAAGGGAGGTTAGTGGGACCAGGTCTGGGGCATTGTAGAAGACCTGCATTTAGTTATTTCTGCAGCTGCAGAAATCCTAGGACCCTTCAGTTGTGTCACCTACTAAATTCCATCTTGTTGAAGTCAATTATAGTTGAGTTTTCTGACACTTATATTGGAAAAAGTCCTAAAAAAAATCAGTATAATGCAGTGGTTACTAAATAAATGCTGTTGGATAACTTATGTCAGAAAATGCAATTGAGGTCAGGAAAGGACCAGAGCAGGAAGTGACTGCATCATACTTATATATTGTTTAAAAATATCCTTCCTGTTTAATACTATAAATAGAAATAACTGACTGCCTTATGTGTTTGCTCCGTATATGTATTTTCAATCACGCGATGTATTTTGATGTGGAAACTTTGCTCCAGTAAAATTAAACTGTGCTCATATTTTCTTCCAAATTGTTCACTCACCATTACCCTTAATGTCTTCCCTGAGCCCCACTTGCTCATTCAAAACCATAATCTGTGGATTTCTTGCCTTAGGCTCAAACATTCATTTTTACCACTTCATATCCTCAATGATATCTATTTTCTGCTTTTGTGCTCCTAATATCTTAACGCTCCTAGATTTTTTTTCAGACGTCAATTTCCTGTGTCTGGCTGTTTATTGATGCTTCTTGGATATCAAAGTCAAGTGTTAAAAATGGGATCTTTATATACCTTTTGATTAATTGCTGTGGAGAACTATTATAGAAAAACAAAATAAAACAACAGAAAAAAAACTGTCCCAAAGAGAGAGAACCCAGTTTCCGTTCTCTCCAGACGTTATACTTAAAATTGATGTTCTTAAGCATCAAGTATGTTATTTTTCATTGCTCGGGTATTTCAACTCTGCCTAAAATTTGATGTCTTAGAAAAAACATAAGTATGTAATCAAAGATTGATTAGCTATCTAATTTTAGGTAAGAGACATACTTTCTGAGACTTGATTACTCTTATCTTTACAATGGAGGAAATACTTTCCAGGATCGTTGTAAGAAATTAAAAGAAGATTCAAAATTTCAAAAGCACCTAGCAAAGTGGCAGTACAAGTAGAGGCTAGACAAATATTAATTTACCTTTTCTACCTTCCTGGTTTGCCATGCAACTCTGTACCAATATTTATCTTTCCCTTCCCAGCTGTAAAATAGGCATTTTAATAGTAAGTTTCCACCTTATAGCACCATAAAGGAAAACATACTCTAACAATATAAATGCATTTTGCTTATTTTTGTAAGAGGGCTTTGACAGTAATTGTCAGGCAATATACTTCCAAATCCAAATTAGGAAAAAAAAATCTTGCTTGAAAGTGAAGGAAAAAGAACAAAAATAAATAATTTATTCATTCTGCTATAATTATTAGTTGGGCAATTATAATATAGAGTTGGGCAAATCTATGAAATGGTTATGGTTATTTCTGTCAAACTCCATGATAATTCAAGACTATTATGAAAGTTAGAGCTTAAGAAAATCATGCCTAGGGAGTTATCCTTGAAAAACAACTATGGCATTATTCATCACAAAGTGCTTATTGCCAAGTTTCAGGTTGATATTGCTGCCCATTAATATGATGCTTAGTCATAATAAAGGGAAGAGGGTAGAGCCAGGAGTAGAGAGACTTTTTTTACCCTTTATCAAAGTTCCTTTTATTCAGTTCTGAGTTTCTAAAGAGGCAGGACTGAAATATAAGGCTTATTAAAGCCAGAAAAAAATTCTATGGAACATCTTTAAGAGACTTATTTTTACTTGAAACATGACAAGTGCTTTTAAGATTAACATATGTTATTATCTATGGTACTTTAGAATCTAAAATTGAAACATTCCTTATTTCTACACATAAGACTTCTCTAGTCCTTGAAGTGTCATGGCTTGAAGAAGAGAGGGTATACGGAAAATTCAAATCAAATCATGATATTCAGATTCAAGTTAGAATATAGTTTACAGAAGTTCACATCGTGGGAGATCTTTTCCAAAAATTCAACAAAAGAAGGGGAGGTTCTGGAAAATATATTTTTTTTGTGTCTTCAAAACTGACATAAGTTTTGAATGTGGCTTGAGAACATGCCAAGTTTTTACAAATGAGTTTAGCTAACCATATGTGGCTCATTTTTTCAACCTAGAAGTAGAAGCTAGAAATACAGAATGTTAACATATAATGGCCTTGAACTTCCTGACTAGAAGGGACTAACATAATGCCAGGTTAAAGTATAATATTTGGTTTGGTTTTCTAAAGGTATAATTTTTATGGAGGAAGCAACAGCTATCCATGTAGAGGCATTTAATTCATTTGCTCACTATTTATTCACCAAATATCCAAGTGCCTACTCTTTGTCGTGCAGTGACCAAAGCAGAATGGTCAGCGTCCTAGGAGAATCATAGACTATGGAATCAGCATGATTTCAGTACCACGTGATCATATGTTCTCTTAGAGGAAGCACCAGGCAGGTGCAGTGGAAGATTAAGTCCTGGGGTGCTGACCACAGCTGAGAGTCTGGGAAGTCCCGTGGGAGGAAGTGGCTTTTCAGCTGATGTGGAGCATGAGTAAGACTTAATCAGATTAGGGAAAGAAGTGGGGAGAAGAGAATTTGTGTGCTGACCACCGGGATCTAGAGAAACTGAGAAATTACAGAAGTGTTTGGGCAGAACTTGATCGGACCTTTATATCTTGTATTTCCAATGACTAGAACAATGCTTGGCTCAAAAAGGGCACCCGATAAGTATTTATCAAATAAATGAATGGGCAAATGTATGACTGCAAATAGTTCAAGAATAATTCTCAACTTTCTTAAGCACCAGGATGGATGATAGTGTTATTTAATGATATTCTGCTCTATTTCTCCTTTCCTTCAGTTACCATTTTCTAAACTTACGATGAAGGAAAAAGGAAAAAAATCTGTGAATACTCATACACTGTTAATTCTTCTCTTTGTTACAGGATTTAATAATCTGAATGCAGGGATCAGCTTAATCCCCTCCTCTCCACCCCCACTGGCCTGCTTTGGTTTAGGCACTCATAATTTCTTGGCTAAATTAATGCAGTTGCCTCTGAGCTGATCTTTTCCCACAGTGCTCCCAGATTTATCCTGAAATGCAGATTTGCCGTGTCACTCTCTAAATTAAAACCCTTTGATAGCTTTTTCATTTCTTCAGACTAAAAATCCAAACTTTGATGTGACACTCAAGGTCTTTTAAGATTTGGATCCTGTACCAAGTCTCAGCTGCAACAGTTTCCCTCCTTGATCTTAAGATTCCTCTGATGTAACATGTTTCCACATTACTTATGTTCCAGATTGTTGATTCAGAGATAAATTTCATGACCGACCACACGAAAAGGGTGGCAATGAGTCTTGAGGACACAGAAGGGTTAAATTGTGACCTCAGTCAAATAGTCACGCTGCTCTCTCTTCCTGAACTTCTTCCTTTGGCTAAACCATATTTTAGGACTGCATTCAGATGTGGTTTCTATGAGGTAGCCTTCCATTATTAGCCAGGCTTTCTCAAGGCTGAACTCAATGCCCCTCCTCTGGGCTATTTTGGGCTCTGTGCTTCTCCATATCAAAGCACCTCCTTTATGACACTCTACAGTTGTCATCTGTGAGTTGATCTCCTCTACTGGTTTGTGAGCCCCTTGAGGGGCAGGCCATTAATTATTTGCAGCAAATGGAAAGTAGGTAGGGATAATGGAAGAGAAGGAAAGATATGACCTGTGAAAAATTGCTAGATATTTTCAGAACCTTTCTCTTTTTTCTTTTGACGTAGGCATCCTCAAACTACCAGTGGAAAGAAAAGCTACAATAACACTATGAGACTCAGGTACGATTATCCAATAATTATTTTCACCGTTGAAACAAAATAGAGTCTACTAATGGCTACCTGTCATATTGTTTGTAGATAATTTAGATGCCTGAGTTAACACCATAGAAGCCTCTAAACTAATTTTTATTTAACAAATCCCTGGATTACATCTAATTCTTTAAATTTTAAAACATCTTGATTAACAGCCATGGCATTCTGAATACCCAGAGCCAATAGGCTACTCTCTGGCATGCCACACCCTTCTGGTCTGGAGACTGAATTGTAGTTGTATGCTTGTGAGAGTCAGTTAGGTTTGCTCTCAAATCTGCTTATGTCAATTTCATTTGTCGCTGTAATTATATAATTAAATATTTCATAAAGTAAAGAAATATGAGTGTGAAAAATCAATGAGAATTTCTCTGAAAACTCTAATGAAAAGCTCTGTTGATTGCTTTGAAGATACTCAGCAAAAGGAGGTTTGCTGAAAAAAAAAGGTCTAGTAGGATTTGCTAAGATTAGGGTAAATCTGTTAAATCTAGAAGGACTCTGAACTATGTTTGTTTGTTTTGCCAAATGTCTTTATAGTCTGGCTCTACTTTAAAGAAACTGAAACTAAATTAAAAAGTGACAACTAATGTGCATGTTTTATGCATAAAGACTATATGGAATTCCAATTAGGGAAAACACACAAATAAAAGACTGTATTTCAAAATTTGGCAAACAATGTGTACTTACAACTTTAGATTTTAAAAGACTTTTATATGTGTTTATATGTTTCTCTTTTTAATATTTCTCCAATTTTTCTACATTTTGTTTAATCAGTCCCAATTGTGTTGGATCTTCTACTATAAATAAATCAACCAGCAAAGAGCCTGGAACATAGTATAGGCTCAATAAGCCTCAAAAAATGTGGATTTCATTCTTCCCTACAAAAAAAAAAAAAAAAAATTAGCACCAAAGACTCAAAGATAGCTGATTCAAAGGGATTTATTTTAGAGATGGCCATTGACTTAAAGAGAAGTCAAATTTTCCTTCAAGAATTGTGTACAGTCAAAAAAATCATAAAAAAGATCACGGAAAATTATTTGAACAATTACATCCTTAAAGCACTTTGGAAATGGGCCCTGGAAGGAGAATACATTTTCCTAGTGGTGATAACATACAAAGCAATGCCTTGAACTCAGGAAAGAGCCAAACAATTCAAGAAAGTATCAGATGGCATACTCTTCAGTACCATTTCAGTATATTTTCTCTTCTGAGAAGTTATATATCAGTCGTTGGGTACTTAGTGACTTTCTGAGCCCAGACCATCATCTATGACAGTGCAGTAGATACTGACACCACTGGTGGAAGCTTCTGATATTGTTTGTGTGCAAAACTAGCAAAATATGCACTCCATTTTGCAGTTTGTATTATCCATAATATTGGCAGGAAGGAAATGGTATAGCCCAAAGTTATTTCTGGCATGAATTTTACAGCCAGAAAAATGAGTTTTCCTTGAATCTGTAAAGCTCCCCAGTGCACAACCACCTATTTATTTACCTTTTAGAAGAGAGATGATACAGTTTGCCAAGCAAAATCAAAGGACTGGAATAAAAAAGCTTTAATGTCAGCTCTGTCTTAAATGTAAGACACTCACCCTTCCCAAATATTTGTAATATGCTCCTCTCTTGATAATAGCATCTT